TCTATAATAAATGGAGTAAACAAATGCTATTGTCTGCTTCTAAAAGTTACTTTGATGCTTATTGGTGACCAGTGCTGACAGCAATTTGAGAGCTTCTGTGTTTGCTGTATACAAGGTGGGGGTTGATGTAGAATGGATATACAAGAGATTGACACAGTAATTACAGGTTTTCCAAGCATTCTGGCATTTCAAATGCTTGTTAGTAAGGGTCACCTGTAATTACAGCCTTATTGCGCGCTTTAGGGGATCTGCGATTAATAAGCTGTAATTAAATGACAAATAATAAGAAATAATAAGTACCTGGCAACAAATAATAACTGTTATTGTCAATCCAGTGGCTGGTATTTATATTTAACAGTGTAGGTTTTAAATGTGATTAGTGCTGAATGGCATGAAGAACAATTCTGAAACAACTGGGGTTAAAAAACTTGGATCTGTTAGGGAAACAAGCAAAAACACGAAATGAATGGGCAGCTAAAACATTGCAGAGCATGTGTAGTCAAGTAGTGTAATGTGCAAAATTAGAAAATAGAAACAGAGCTCTTGGATATGCACGTAATCTAATATAGAGTTTTGCAGAAAGCTGTGTAACTTAACTCTCCCGAAAATCTCCTGTGACCATTCATGGCTACACACATTCATAAAACAGTGGCCCACTGATAACAGCAAACAGTCACTTGGTGATTTGAGTTACACAATTCACGTAAATAAAAAATGTTCCTGTAGCTCATACATTGGTCATTTTTTATCGTTCAATCAGTGGGTTGAACAATAAAAAAAATGACCTCATTCAGTCATCCACACATTCTAGGTAGGGTTGCCACCTCATCCCTTTAAAACCGAATAAATATTAATTGCACAGGTTCTGAGGCTAATTTAATGCAGACAAGGCATTAAATGAGTTTAATTACCACTTTAATCAGCAACAGAACCTGTGTAACTAATATGTGTTCGGTTTTAAAGGGTTGAGGAACAACCCTAATTCCAGGGTGAATGGGGGAATCCTGCCAACTGAGTTAATGGATTCTGACTTCCCCGCCATCAGAATACACTGATCAGTGCTGCCAACTAAAGGAGGCAGCACTGATCGATTGGGGAAAACCCAACAGGGTGGTTGTACAGAAGTCAATTGGTAGATCAACTTCTGTACATTTAGCCTGCCCACTCATGGATCGAAATTCAGCCGGTCCCTGCTGAACCGGCCAAATTTAGATCCATGCTTAGCCAGCTTAAGGGGCCATTCACACCACAGAAATGTCCTCAAGATCTGTTCTGGTTGCATTTCTGCATGAGCGTTTTAAAGCTTTTTCTTTGTGTTCCAGTGCATTTTTGTTGCTTTTTGCATGCGTTTTTGATGATGTGTCTCCAGATGCATTCCTCATGCTTTTTTTTATTTTTTATTCCCTGTACTAGAGTCCAGTAGATTTTCTTATGCCCTTTACCATGTTCCAGTACAGTCCTGTGCAGGAAAAATGTACAAAGAAAGCATGTTGTACTTTTTTTCTGGAACTGAAACATACTGGAACTGACTGCCCTGGTGTAAACTATGCTATTAGAGCTCATATAGGCTACTTTCCATGCTTTTGTTATGCAAAAAAAAGCACTGCACTGCATATGGTGTGAACGGGCCCTTCATCAGTGGATAGGAAAGGGGGGGCGGGGGGTAGATGTACAGGCAAGAGCTGTCCCATTCCAGGTGAATCGCATAAATCTCCTTGCCAAACTGCTCAGACACGTCACATGGCAGCAGGCTTGCAGGATCTAAAGCTGGTCATATACTAGTAGAATTTTAGCTGAAAATGTTAGTTTTAAGAGCCTACTTTTTATTTCCAAACTCTTAGTGGGGTCAAATTGATACTTCATGTTTGACTGCAGTGATGAGAAAATTCGAAGGCTGGAAAATTTTTCTTGAACGATTGAATTTCTAACAATGTATGTGATTTTCATTTGGGAAACTCCATTCACTTAATGAAATCAAATGTATAAGCAAATGTTTTTTTTAAATACTTTTGAATGACATTGATCAAGTTATCGAATGAACTGAGAATTTTCTTACAAATTTTTGTTTAAAATCTACTAGTGTATGGCCAGCTTAAAGTATAAGTTCACCTTTTAACAAAAAATAATAAATGCACTTTTTTTGCAGGTAAAAAAATGTGTATTTACTATTTTTTGTTTTAGTAGCCTGGAAAGCAGTGAATCTATAATCAGCAGATTACGGGTGCCATGCAGGACTCCTGCAGACTCTCAGTGTAATCAGTCTGCTCGTACATTTTACGGGCAGGCAGTTTTACACTAAGGAACAGGAAGAATCCATGAGCTACCACGGCTACTTTGTAAGCTGTGTTCTACATTACATACACTCAACTGCTGCATTCTGTAAGCTGTGCTGTGCTGTGCATATTTCTGACCACTCCACTGTGTATCTTGTGCTGTAAGTTGCATACACCTTTTTGCTGCACTGTTTTGTTTTTTTTTTACATACTCCTGATTGCTGCACTCTTTAAGTAGTTCTGCACAATAAATACTGCTGACCACTGCCTTTTATACACTGTGTTGTGTTTTACATAGTCATGACTGCTGCAATTTGTAAGCTGTGCTGTGCATTATATGCTCCTGACTGCTCAACTTGATAAGTAGTTATGTACAATACATAATGCTCACCAGTGCAATGTAGACACTATGACGAACATCACGCAGTCCTAACAGTTTCTGGTTGCTAAGCAGTCACTGACTTTTTTAATGAAGTTCTTTTTAAGGTAGGCTCAGGCTACATCTTCCATAAAAATATGACTAAGCATAATTATCCTGCAGAGAAATGCAGAGGTTCTGATATGTTACATAATCTCTAACAAGAGATTTTCCATCACTGGATATGTAAAGCCTAAGCTTAAGAAAAAATGTTTTTAAATAATAAGCATGCAGGGTGATGCTTGCATTCAATCCAAAGAGTTCCTTGTGCTTGTACCAGCCGTAATAGTGGAAATCCAAAGTTCTCTGACCCCCTTTCATACCTTGCCGCTGTAATCTTCTAGTTCTGTGGGGCAGATACCAGTGTTGTACCTGTGACAGGCACTCATCAAGAGTGATGATTATGCCCACCCTTTTCTCAACCCCTCCTCCATTTCTGGAAGATGTACTATAGCATTCACCAATAAAAAGCAATCTATGAATGGAAAGGGTGGACCTTTCGTTCATCCACACCCGTCCTCCATTCACAGATCACTTTTCATTGATGGAAGATATAGTACAACATCTATGTTGAGGGCAGAGGAAAGGTTGGGGATAATTGTCCAGTGCTGGTATTAACCCCCCGTAGCACCAGAAGATTACAGCTGTGGGGTACGAGAGGAGGGCAGAGGACTTCAGATTTTCACTATTACAGCTGCCATCAGCACAAGGGACAATTCAGATTAAATTACATTAATACCCTTTGTGCTGATTTTTTTAAAACATTTTTGTCTAAATGTAAGTTTTAAAATTTGGATTAAAATGACTGCAGTCATACATACAACAGTCAACAACCATAAAGGCACATGCTAAAAAAGGAAAACTGGCAATTAACCAAATGTTAAACTATATATATTTCTATATACAAAACAAAAATCAACAAGGATGTAACAGCCGATTTCTATCATTTGTAAAATAAATTAAAAACAACTAATACAAAGCTCATAGTTGAAAGTAATATATTATTTTAATTTTCAGTGTGTATATTATAGATGTTACAGTGTATTACATTTACCCTTGGACTTATTCAGATGGGCAATGAAGCCCATCCTCCATGCAAGACTGTTGGCAGAAGCATGTGCATCTACCTTGGAGCTGCATGCAGGCAGCCCATATAAGAAGTGAATGTAGATGAAGTGGTTGCACGGACAACATTTCATGTCAAAGTTTGACACGTGGGCAGGAGCAAGTGCTTGGATCCAAATGTAGAGACTCTGTACTTGAATCAGTGCACCCTTTCTTGCTTGCATGCCAAACTTTATATGCAATTGTGTCAGTGCAGCCACCTCTATGGGCTGCCTGCACACAGCTTCAATGTGGATGCACATGCATCTGCCAGTTGTTCTTCATGGAGGACAGGCTTAATCTCCTGTCTGAATGAGCCCTTATTTTTTGTAACAACCAGGCACACAGCATTGTTGAACCTATTTACTTCATGGATAGGCTGTAACTGTAAGAGTGGGAAATTTAAGAATAAGCACCAACATTTTTACCACTCTGCAATGGCATCATAAATTAAAAAAAAAAAAGATTTCTACGGTATTTCAACTTGTGCTGCAATGTTATCTTATTTAAAGTAGTTGTAAACCCTTACTTATGAAATGAAACATGAGATTACTTATGAGATGAAACAAATATATAATGTATCTGCATTCTTCTTTTCTCCACATCCATTCAAAGTGCAGCTTGTTTGAGCTTCCAGAAAACAGGGGGCGGAAAACTGAAAGTACACACCGCAGATCTCAGTGAGATGGGCTGTGAGAGCTGATTGGAAGGAAAAGACACACCCATTCCACACAGCTCACAGGAACAGAACTGAGGCTCTCAATCTGCAGGAGGTCCCTCCCCTGTCACCATTTTTCTCTTGGTGTCAGGAAAACTTGTCAGAAGTGACTCATGCTAATAGCAGAGAAGCAAAGCGGCGGGCAGAAATGACACTTAGGGGTTTATTTACTAAACCTGGTTGACTCAGAATCTTGTTCACTTCTGCATAAAAACCAATCAGCTTCCAGGTTTTATTGCTGAAGCTTAACTGAACATGCTAAGGTTAGAAGCTGATTGGCTACCATGCACAGGTGCCCAAGATTCTGAGTCAACCAGGTTTAGTAAATAAACCCTTTAGTGTTCTGGACAGAGACAGGTGCACACTATAAAGGAATATACTTTGTTCATAGTTCATGTCTGAGGTTTACAACCACTTTAACAGAAGACTGAATAAGATATATTACATTTATATATAATTTAGGAAAACCTAATTGCCCATCTCTCACCTGTCTTGGTATTTCAGGAAATTTGCCTTTGGTCGAGCAAGGATGTCCAGACTACTTTCTTGAGACCCAGAGACCCGAGCTGCACACATGCTGAGCCTGAAAGAAAAGTGGTAGAACCAGTTAGGAGAAGCAGAGAAAGGGTTAATGTGACAGCATAAATCCCATGCAAAGGTATTAGGTATTTGTAACATATCCTACACACAGGCACATTTATGTAAGTCTCAGCTAAAAATAAATACTTTGTAAGGTGATAATTATTCTCTTTCAAAAAATGTTACAGTGAAGGTACTGTATTAAAGCAGAATAATACGCTAAAAGCAGGCACTGGGAAGCTGGTTCCTTTCCTATTGAATTCCTAAATCTCCTGGGCTCCCCAACTCGGGTGTGCTCAGCATTCAAATGTAGTCTTCAGCCTGAAGTCTGTGCTGTGACAACCATCTCCTTGCACAACATCAGGGCATCAGAATACTTACTGATTTATTAAAAAGGCACACACCATAGTGCAGGTGGGAGCTAATTTTACATTTTGCGCACAAGAAAAAAAAAAGTGCAGGTACCTTGTAGTGCCTGATTTTACATTACAATGACAAATGTATATATATCCTAAGCTCAATCTAGATCACCCTTTTCTGTTTGCTCAGCTGTCTGTGACATTCAATAATTGTATTTACACAGTGACTTCCTGATCTGTCAATACTTCATGTACTTGCCAGACAGACATCTAGTGAGCAGTCCATGGCAGCATCTAAAGAGAAAAAACATAGTGCACATAATACCAATTTGCATATATAAACTATATACAGGTTACTCAATGTGTATGCTGCAAGAACTTACCCTATTCATCAGTGTCTGGATGTTCTCATGTTCCGAGTCTAGCCTTCACTCTACTTTTTCTGTTGCTAAGAGACTGAGTATGCTCTGGTTTCCAGGGGAACTAATAAATGTCACGTGGGGAGCACCAGGGTGTCATGTGACAAAGCAGGATAGGCATGACAAGCAAAATATGGTACCAAAATGACTTTTAGGTGAAAGCTGACATACTTTGTACGTTGTTACAGATCTATTTATATATATTTATGGTTACAAACAGAGGCTGGATTAGTGCCAGTTTTGGTATGTATGCTCCTTTGCAAGACAAAAGATGTAGGTATAAAGTTTCCACCATACATATGATTTTTTAAGGAGGTGCAAGGACTTTTAACGTACAGCTTGCAATCAGAGTTTAAACTAAATGATAAATGTGGCAAGGTTTTTTTAGCCTGCACTACAAACAGTTAATTACTTATTGGTTGCCTTGACTTGTGTGGTTTGTTTAAGCTCCTGTTTTCCAATGCATTGCAGACACAATAGAATACATTACAGAATGCTAACAATGAGTATATACTCAAGAAACCTTTGTGCTTAGCTGCTTACATTTAATAGCAGAGGACAATGATGTCCAGTATGCTGTAGCAACCAGACAGATTTCAGAAGACTAAATGTATTGGGATGAATGAAAAAACAATTCTGAAGTGGAACTAAAGGCAACATTTTAAAACTTATGAGCAGGTAGGCAATTTATCACAAAAAATAATTGCAATGTCTCCTTTGCAATGAAATAAACCTTCCTGCCTGCTCACCTTCTTCTACCTCATCCCATGCTGGCCACTCAAGACAGCCAAAGACCAGCATGTTGCAAGGGGGGGGGGCAGATGGGTGATACTGTCTCCATGTTCCCCTCCTCATTGGGCACGAAGTGTGGATCACAAGAGAGGCATACCCCAGGGAGTTCTTCTGGGCTATGCTAGGCACTTGAGATGGGTCACATGGGGTACCTTTATTTGCATGGCCGATTGAACTCTAATGAACTCTCCTGATGTTAACATACACAACTACTTCACTTCTTGCATTTAGATGGGACAAAGCTGAGTCTATGCCCTCTCCACCTGTCCAATGTACAATCTCTCCACTACTTCACTCCCAGTAGCAGAATGGAACCCAACCATGCACCAGCACAGACTCCATGCATTCAAGCACTTAACTTTCCTTCTGCCGTACCTAGTGCCTAGGCTAGGAACCTCTGGGAGCTAATCTGCTCCTATTGCTATGGGAGATGGACCACCAGAGGAGATATGCTGACAACCCTCCCTCGCTCCAAGAGGATGTCCCATCTGTCACAGGTACACACTTAATGACAGGCTGCCCGACTAACTGATTGCTTCAGTTACCCCTAATGTCTTCACACACCAATGTGTCCTAACTGAACCAGTTCTTAGACTAAGTGCAGATTGTGCCGGTTACTTGCATTACACCTCTTTAATGACTTCAGACCAGGCAGACAGTTTTACTGAGAAAATTTGAACATAACAGAGTTCAAGGTACAATACAGTTCTTTCTCTACATCCCCGGTCCCTATCTCAGGCTTGTGTGCTGCCCTGGTGTACCTGCATAGGTCAAGTCCATTCGTGGCATGTCCATGGTTGGCAGAGTCGGATGGTGTCTTCAGGGTGGACTAGCATTTCCTACATGATATAAGGCTACATTAGGTCAGCGACCTTGAACCCTGTCCTCAGTAGTGATATCCAGCTTATGGGCCAGGAACTCCAGAATGTGGACACGAATACCCCATGGCTACTCTGCTCTTAGGCTCTGGACTACTCTCCCTATTTATAGGCACAGAATCAGTGAGTTGAATCCAAGAAAACCCACCAAAGAAAATCCAGGAAATAACAGTAATCCTAACCTTTCCATCTGGGGCAGCGCCTAGCTATAAACAACCTGCTTACAAGCACCTGGAAGGGGAGAAGACACCGGCATTGGTGAGGAATCCTTTGCGAACTTCAGACCGTTGGAGAGGAGGTGAGTATAGTGCCTTCAGTTCCACTTTAATGTGGAACTAAACCCTTCTATCCTTTACAGCCAAGGAAACTACCATTTAAGCCTCTGTTTGATCTACAGTTGCCATGGTGCTGCACATGTGCTCAGTGAAGAGACCAGCCATTGATAGCCTATTAATTTGATTGAGAGCACAAGCAACTGAGTCAGATATGGCATACCTTGAATATAACTGTTTTTTTTTGAAACATTTAAACTGATGGGTTTAGTTCTGTTTTAATGGTTGTAAGGAGGTTCCTGAACCCGGCTTTTTGATATTTAGAAAAAACAAACTATTGTGTGTTAACTTTGTCTTTCAGTTTGAAAGTATCAGACTTATTTCCTAAGGTAGTATAAAGAGGTACAGCTGAGCAACTATAAATAACAGTAGCAAGCAAAATCCAATCTTTCGCTGCAGGCACTGCTCTCCAACAAACCTGGACTCCAGGAGAAGGCTCCCAGTGGTTGCTGGCTGCTCGTACAACTACAAACTGTAGCTTTCAAAGAAAAGGGGAGCCACTCATCATATAAAAACCTCCAGTTCAATATATTTAGACTCTCCAAAGAATGGAAAGTTCTATCTGTGTGTTGGCGAGTGTCTCTCCTTTTCTTTTGAAAGTTGTAGTTTGGAGTATGAAGTATAGTACATTTACTCAAAGTAAGCAGCACACACCTCTGACTAGGAGAGCAGTCAAAGCAAAAGCATATGATTGCAGTTTGGTTGCTATAATTTCTGCACATTGCTCTTTGTCTTGATAAATAGGATCTTTCATTTTGTCCAGTGAAAACAAAACACCTTTTCTTTCTTTCCCACTTTCTTTCCTTCTAGATGTGGAGGTTTATATGCCCTTCTCCTCTTGCTCCCAGGATGCAGTGCACATGTAAGAAGGCTGAAATGTTAGTTGGCAGCTGTTGCTAAACTGGGAGGGAACAGGTTAACTGTATTCCCTGGGTTTGGCGGGCTTTTGCTTGGCTCTGCCCCCCTTCCTGTTCATATAAAATCAGGAGTGAGCTCTGCCCAGATGAGACCAACCACATGGGAGCAGGACAGGCTGGCTGCTGCTATGTAATCTGTTCCTCTAGCAGTCCACCAGCCTGGAGGGACTCTGCTCATCCCTGCTTTAGATATTCTCTCTTCCAACTGTCCTCACTGGAGACTGCCTGCCTGAGAAGCCTGCTGACATGCCTGGGGCTGCTGAGACCTGTAGTCCCCCACAACACACAGCCTGCTGCATGGGAAGGAGACACAGAAAGCTGTCAAGGTGTGGGAGAGTGGTTCTGTTCCTGATTCCAGTAAAGCTGCTACAAACCTGTGCCCTGGAGCCTTCCACATGATGGGGGATTGCTGAAACTTCCAGTCTTCCCAGAAGATGCTCTTTCCTAAGCAGGTATGCCGGGGCAGTACGCAAGCCTGTAATTAGGAACTAGAGATGTTAGGGAAGGATAGCACTTTATGTTGAACTGTTATATCTCACATTATTCAAGTAAAGCTTTTGAAACATTGCTATGCCTGGTCTGAAGTTACTTAAAGGGGTGCATGGTGGTAATGGTGTATAGAACAAGGCTGTGATACACACAAGGGGTGAAGTGGTGACAAGCTGTTGCTAGGGGCAACAAGCACAAGAGAAGGAGGATATGACAGCCAGCCCAGTCCCCTGCATCAGGTGTCCCCATCACAGTGTCCCCTGACATCAGGTGACTTCATCCATCAGTTGTCCCCATCACAGTGTTCTCTTACATCAGGACCCCCCCCATCCATCAGAGTTATACACCCCTTCCCCCTTGTACTCAAAGATCCCAAGTGCTGTTTCCTTCTTTAATGACGTCAGCTTGTTCCTTCCAATCCCCTGCTGAGCCTGAGATTGTCACTCCCAGTGTGGGCTCTCTTCTGCTCCCTGCAGCTGCTTCTTCTGACTGGAGAAACAGTCACTCCTGTCAAAAAAAGATTGGCATAAGCGGCCAAATCGCCGTGCACCCCACCGCCAACATGTAACAGCACCCTGGCTTTCCCCTTGTCTTAGCCCTGATTATGGGGCCCCCATGCACCTGGAGCCCCGGTGTTCCTATTCATTAGGACGACCCTTAGAGAAAGGCCTTGAGGACAGTGGTCCCCAATCCTTTGTCTGCAGCCTCAGCTGTACTGCAGATGAATAAACAGAGTGCACTCTGTACAGAGGCTTCTTATTCATTAAATGAATGAACACAGGACTAATCACTCACGGTGTTCATTCATAAAAAGAAGGGGATGGTAAATATGACATATTTACTGGCTCCCCCACTCTTTATCCTGGAATGATCCTCTTGTGTGTCCGCAGCAGCCAGTGGGAAGAAGAGGAGGGGAAGCTGGCAGCACTGTGGGAGAAAGGTTCACACTGGGGGGCCTGGGCAGTAGGGGGGATCTGGAGGAGAAGCCAAATTTCAGCGGCTGCTGGGAGAGCCACACAGAGGGATTGATTCCAGGAATTGCACCCCCGCACTTACCATGTGAGGATACAATTTAATTTATTTGTCTTACAACATAAAACATTTAAATAATTATTAGATATACATGAATAGACCTGATCAGATTTGTGTAAAGTGTACGTTTTCCTCTTCATATCATCTGTCCTTCCCTTCCTGTATCTTCACAAAAATGTTAAATCCTAACTGAATCTCCCCTGAAGTAAAAAACATCTCAGGGTGCAACCAAAACAGTAAGGCTAGGGTCACATCTGTGCGGGTGGTGCTGCTGTGGATCCGCACAAAAATCCGTGTAGCTGCACCATAGAGGACTGCGGACCCGCGGGCGGGTGCCATTAGTTCTAATAGCATGCCGCCCGCACTGGAAAACACAACCGTACTGGGAACCGAGGTTCCTGTGCGGGCTGC